ATTAGCACAGCTGTCTAGTTTGGGCAGTGATGTTAGGTTCACATTTTTCCCTTCTGTTGCACAAAAAGCTGCCTGAGATAAAGACATTATTGCATCCCATTTAGTGCTTTCATTTTCAGGTGTCTTGGAAACATTTCTCTGATTGCAGAAATGGAGGATATGGAGGTATATTTCGGTAACTGTGCAGGGATGTGGAGAGAAATTAGAGCCCTCAAAGCTAAAGCACGCGACCACCATCAAGGCGTACATGGGGACGTGGCAAAGAGAGAATAACTCCAAGTTACACAAAACCTTGTTGAAGTGATCCTCACTCAGATTCTTGGATAAGTACTCTCTGATGCCCTGCTCACTGAAGCCTTTCACTTCCACTCTGAGACAGTCCCAATCCAACAGGAAGTCTGCTGACTCCACCTCTGGTCTGCAGGTGACTATGATCTTTGCTTCGGGTAGAAGAGTCTTCTGTATGAGCTTAAACACCACAGATGTAGAGCCAACATCTGTAAATCCATCAAAAATGATGGTAACACTGTCAGCATTATTCTTTATGTCCTCTAAGACCTCATCGTTGCCTTCATCTGGTTCACAGAACACACTGAAGAGAAGATCCTCCAGTTTATGGAGCTCTGTGATGTTGGGTGTTTCTCTCATATCAAAGTAGAACATGTAATCCAGATCTCTGTTATCTTTCTCTGACCACAGTTTCAACATCTGATGGACCACAGCTGTTTTCCCAGTTCCAGGTTTTCCTACCAAAATGATTTTTCTTTCATATGTTTTCAGGAGTTCACTCGGAGAGATTCCATGTTTGTCCTCAGGTATGTACGTTTTTAGTTTTTTAGGTCGAAGCTTCCTGCTTTTCTTGATCTTTGACTTTTTTATTTTGGATGGTGAAGCCTGTCCTGGTGTGTCTAACACAAGCGAGATGTATGACAGGGAGCTCTGCTTGTTTAACAAGACTGCTTTACTTTGAGTCCATGATCTTTCTGAAATCTTTTGAGCTTCTGACTTTAGCTTTTGTTGGTATCTGTGGCACGGGCTGGGGCCTGAAAGAAAGGAGGTGTGGGAGGGAAAAAAAAAGCAGAACAATTTAATGTCACTGTTGTGTCACTGGACAGCATCACAATATGGATGGATTAAAAATCATCAATATGTTAAAATCATTTCAGTTTAAAAAATACCTTGTAAAGATGTTACATCTATATTAATGTCCTCCCTGAAGGAAAAGCAGCTGATCCAGTAGTTGAGGTCAAACATGTTGGACAGAGAGGATGATGACTCTGGATTTTCTGCAAAAGACAGTGATCTCTCTCCAGAGGTTCTCCTTGTTGTGTCAATAATCCTGAGAAACTCATAGCAAGCTTCTTCCCCCATTTCTATAACATAGTCCACAATTCTTCTGGTTTTGTCAAATCCATCACTCTCTGACTTTATTTTATTCACTTCTTCCTCTGAGAAAAATCCTCTCGTGGACAAGTTCTCCACAATCTCAGTAAACCCCTTTAATGTTCTCACCAGGTGGTCTCTGGCACTCCTGACGTAATCCAAGGCTGACTGAGATGCACAAGCCATGATCTTTACTTGCTGGATTTCAGAGGTCCTGTTCAGAGAAAAAAAATATCAGGGTGAACAACATGGATTTCAAACAGTGATTTATG